CCGTTAGAGTGGCACACGGAGCTTTATCACAGAACCCTGGCACCATCAGCATCAGGAATGTGCCTCTTTGATATCAGCTTGTGATGGATCAAGTACATGCTACCTTAGGTGCTTCACTTTTTCTCCTGACTGTTCTGTAAGCTCCCTCCTAACCCAAATGAAAGGTATCCATCTGTCAATACGTCCACAATAAGTTGCACTCTACAATCTGGGTCTTCCTGCCTTTCTTCAGTCTCCTGGCATCTTGCAACTGGCTTTCATATACTGGGATGGGGTTTTTCCGAGACAGACTGTGACTCCTTACTCATAAATATGTACATGTTTTAATATACATATAAAACATATCTCTGAATATCTGCCTTGGTGAAAGAGAAAATAATTTCATTATTAAGGAGCCAAGTCTAGTCATTAATTAAAAGCACAGGAGTCTGATAAAGGCTTAAAAAATGAGAGACCCCATTCAAGATCCAAGGACATTCACGGAGTGACAGGTGCCACATTGAGGAGCCCCTCTGCACGGGGCAGTGATCACACTCAGCATGCCACTTCAGAGACATTCTACAGAAAACAACTTCAGTGCCCCTCTTTCTCCTTCTCCCCGCTTTATTTAGGCTCACAGCACTTCTCACCATCTTGCATGTTATTTTTAATTGTCCCTCTTCATTACCTGATGTATCTCCAAGGCCAGGCTCATCAATAGTCCCTTAATAAATACTTATAAACAAACGAGATCACTGTCTGCATTAATCAATGGCTCTCTCTGAGATGCCTGACTCCAGGATCTCCTTTTATTATCTCAAGAATCAGAATGCATCTTAGTTGTGTGGGCAGTGCCATTAGAACACATGCAAAGTCTGTACACTGCTGGTATACCACGCATGCCAAGGTTAATTACCACTGAAAATGTTTCTAGAAGGATTGCGTTGATTCCGCACTGAAACAAAAAAGGTGGCACGACTTCCAAAAGTCATGGAAACAGAGCAGCATGGGGTACATTTCACATCAGTCAGGCATGTGCTTGTCATTATGCCAGTGGATGAAATTCTGCATTTTCTTACTATGCAACAACAAAGAATTTTGCAGACCTACGAAAAGGAAACACCGAAAAAAGATAAAGCTGCGATTTGTTTTACTGCTGGATAGTTCACAAGCCAAAAGAGTGCAAACAAGGGAGAAATCACAACATTCCTCCAGAGACAAAATCGTCAAGCCAGGAGACGGAAGTGTTTAGTCCACGCACCATGCAGAGTATCATTAAAGCCTGTATCCTTCATCAACGAACAGCTCCTTTTCTTACTTTACACCAAACTGGTGTGTCTTGGCATCTCTGAAGGCTTACAACACACTTTGTGGTTTGTCTGCCAGGCAGTGGCCTCTCCTCTCCTCTGCCACATCCCTAGGAACAAAGAGGTGTATTTCTACACATTACTTCACAAGTTTTCAGTAATACTTAAAGTTTAATGGCTTGTTTGGTTTTTTGAGCTTTCAGGAGGGAAGGGAACAGACTGGTTTTAAACGTCTCAGCATCAAACTGCTTGAACTGAGTCCAAATAATGGCCACAAGTCAAAATATTATCAGGTCACTGGAAAAGACAGATTAAATGCATCCTGAGTCATCTATTCACCGATGGGGAGTAGTGAGAAATTCAGAAGCAAAGGACAGGAAGTCTGCTATATATTATTCTACCTGAATTTTTGCTAAGTGTAAATTATCTGACTTCTAAAATACATTTTAAAGTTGATCACGTATTTGAGATGTCTGGGTAGGCAATCTGTCCAGCCAGACAGTGAAATACACGGAACAAGAACAAACCAAGACCTGGCTTTGTTGTGAATGACAGAGGATCCCTCTGATGTCCAGAATACGGGAGGTCTAAGTGACTGAGAGTCCACATACTGGAATGGCTTCCTCTCCGCCCTCCACTTCCTCAGTGCCACAGCCACCCTACTTCCACAAGCTTTCCAAAGCCAGACAGCACCTATACCTAATGGATGAAAAGCTGTGAAGTCACTCAGTTCTCACTCTGAACTTCCTTTTTCAAAGGGTCCCAGGGCAAAATGTTTTTTTTTTTTCTTTAACCTCAACTACCGCACCCATAAAATTGGGCATAAATAGTTAAGTACCTCGTAGTGTTAAGGGAAGGTTCAATTAGTACATATCACATACTGAGCGTAGAACATGATGTATACAAATAATGTATACAAATATACAAATATACAAAATATACAAGTATACAAATAGTGCTAACATCTTGGTACCAGGACTGAAAAACTTTTATTCCTAATGAAACTCTTCCTTTCTGGAGAAAATGCTTATTTCCGGTTCCTTCCTTAAAAGAAATACCAGACCCTAAACCTTACCTAGCTTTGTACCCATAACTTCACTTATTACTACTAACAATCCTACCAGGTAGATGTGACTATCTATCTCATTTTATAAATGAGGAAACTAGCCACAGATTCCGCAGCTGGGGACTAAGCCGGGACTAAGCCTGTAACCTTTCCCTCCCCTCTGCCCTCCCTCCAACACTACGCCCGACTGTCCCAATTGTCAGAGGTCAGCATGAGCCCACGCTCCCCAGACACATCGCCAGGCTTCTCTGATATGCTCCTGTTGCACCTTCTCAAGTCACAGGCCACCTTTCAATATGTGCGCTGCTTATGGTTATCCAAACGGAGCTGCATTCCTTAGAGGTCCAAATGGAAATGTCCATTATCACCCCATCTCCCAGCACAAAGTAAATCATCTAAGTTGCCACCTGTTACATATTTTCTGCATTTGTATGCTTTACGTACTTATTACCTCCATCTGTTGGAATAAGTGAAATCTGATAACCGTAGTGGACTCCCAACTGAACAAGTAACTGGAATTCTAGACTAAGGCAGGAGTGTTGGAGTAAGTGAAATCTGGTAATCTTGAGCGAAATTCCAACCGAACAACTGCAATTATAGGCTGAGGAAGGAAGATTGCCATAACTTCCAGGACAGCCTGAACTACATAACCAGATCTGTCTAAAAACAAAAACTGGGATTCTTTCTGGGGTTTTGTTTTGTTTTTTGGTTATAGTAGTTTTATTTTGTTTTTTGGTCTTTTTTGAGATAGGGTCTTGCTCTGCAGTTCAGGCTGGCCTCGAGCTCACTTTGTAGTCCAGGCTGGTCTGGAACTTGCAACGATCCTCCTGTCTCAGCCTCCCGAGTGCTGAGATTACAGGCGTGCGCCACCACGCTGGTTTTTTTATTTTTTCTTTTTGTATCAGGAAGCCAACTCAGGACCTTGCACTTGCCAGACAGGCGCTTGTGTCGCTTAGCTACATCCCTGGCCCAACTGGGATTCTTTCTGTGCTCTATTATTTTTTAGAGAACTTAGAAACAGATGGAGTATTTCTATTTCCTGTACATGACATACACTTCTAATGTTCAGTATCAAATTATGACAAAGCACTGCAAATTTTTTCTTAATCACCAAATACAGAGATGTTTCCAGTACCTTGTGCCAAGTCCCTGCTGCTGGTCCCTCTCTCACACACCTCCACCTACACTGCCCTTACATGCACTGGCAGAACTGGGGGAGAGGTATTTTTGACAACCCCGTATTAGAAACTGACCCTTTTTCCAGTATAAGTGTTACTATCGCTACTTATCTGCAATAATATATTCACTTTCAGGTAGAAAAACAGCTGTGTGTATCTTGGCCTGTAAGTCACATTAACCATATAGGAGAAACAAATGTCCTGAATTCTAAACAAGTCAACAGCTTTAGGTAGACCCTGATTGAAAGTGGGAACGCACATATTCCAAAATGAACACAGGAACTATCACCGCCAACTAAGCTTACCCTTCCACTCTGCAGCGCTGCGTGCAGTGCACAATATGATCCCAAAGACAGAAAACCACCTTCAGCTCTCAAGACTCTCAGCAACTGTACCCTGCACTAAAAGCCACACACACCCACTCAACTGCAACAATTAGTTGCAAGTATATCTAGTCCTAAGACACTGTATGTCTACACCAGGACTAGGGTTTACTGACACATCGTACTTGTAGAAACACCTTTGCTCTCCACGTTGTGTTCTATAGAGCAGGGGTAGCTGCTCGGATGCTCACTTCCTGCCGTAGCAGTACAGACTATTACACATCCAGCACTGTGTACTACCCTCAACTCCACAAACCTAGAAGCACTGAAACACTGAAAGATTCCAGCGATGAACTCAGCACCTCTGAAGTGAGTAGATCAGAAAAAGAATCACTGAAACTTAGGAATCCTTAGGGTACTCTACTTACACTTGCAGCCATAGAGCTGACCACGGACATAAAAAGCAGTTTGCAGGCTATTAAATAGGATTGCTGACATTTTTGTATACTGTGAAGAAAGTGCATTGCCTTTGGGAAGAAAAACTTCTAAGAGTTTACAAATAAACCCGAAGACCATAAACTCTAAATTCTAAACTAAAATCTGTCACTCCAAAACTGTTACAATAGAAGGAACAGTACTACCTTAACCTTAGGTAGGAAAACGAGCAGAGATCTTTCATCATTCACTTAATTCCTGGTCAGTGGAATTATCAGTCTTCCCATCAGCCCAAACCTCTACCAGCTGTAATATTTAGGGCAAATATGAAGTTCAAAGTCAGAAATACTTGACCACTACATCAACCACATAACAACAGGTATACATGAATTCGCAAGTGAAAACCTCATCAGTTACCTGAGATCAGGATTTCTAAAATGTCTCCAACACAAATGTAAACGTGTGCAGGAAAACCAGTGCACAATTATGGTCAGATAATCAGGTTCTCAAAGGCCTGGTAAAAACCCATACATGTCAGTCAACTCAGCTCCACTCTCCCGGATAAACACCTATTATTAAACAGTTAATGAAGTTATTACATTCAGCTTTCCTCCCTGTAGATCAGAAAATGCTTGTGGGTCCTCTGAGGTTAGCATGGAAAAAAAAGAGGCAGGGTGTACTGTGGTAAATAAAGTAATTCCACACATGAAGATATTCTGATTTATATTTTATTGCATTATGAAAATAATACATTTATTTGGCAAAGTAATCTAGGCTCCAAGTTGAAATAAAATTCTTAAGTGTACGGATCATTTTTAAAATGTGAAATTGATGTAGTCTAACCAATACATACTAGCATCCATATTAGATCAATAACTCAGGAAACCTAATTTTAATAATTCCACATGAAATTACAAGGTGTTTTTTTGCATTCATCCATTTTATGACTAGCACACATCTTGAGAACGGACCTTCATTTTTATCCAAATCCACACATTTAAGAAACTCCTGTTCAAAGACAATTTAAAACACTACCCCAAATTTTTATTTCCTTTGGTTCTACAAGTTGCATTTTCAACCTTAAGTTACAGTTTTCATAAACATTGTAGCAACTTTAGATTCTGCCCAAGTACCTTTATAAGTAAACTAATATATTACATTATTGGAAAAATTGATTTTACAAATGCAAAAGTGCATAGATACATGCCTATCTACACCAGCAAAATAAAACAGTCTGAACTTCAATGCTTTAACAGGCCACACCTTCTGGTCCAGGACTTCTAGAATACCTTTCCAAGGCAAGTGGTTATGGATTAATCCTTCCCTGGCAATTTCATTGCTCTGTCTATACTTCTGAAAGGTCTATTTGTGACAAACACTAAAGGGATTAAATTTACCTAAACATAATTAACATGACAGCTGTTTAAGGTCAAGAAACAAGTATCTTCCACCATTTAAGTCTTGCTTTTCTCCGTTTCAATCTTTTATGAGGACTTACTTTGAGTTAAGAAAATGTGCCTAAAACTAGCCTTTTAAAAAATTCATGAGTCAGTTACTATTCAAACTGACATTTTCATTGAGCAAAGCCTATTATGTGCACCTATGCATACTTGTGGAAATTTACTTTCAAATGGCCACTGATAAAAACAGCTGAACAAGATTCCCCAAATTAACTACAGAAGTATTCCACCTATCCTAAAGAAATTCCATCAGCATTCTACAATTACCTGTATAAACAGCAACAAGTTTGATCTATGATCAACATATGAATATCTAATAAATATTAAACTATAGATTAAAACGCAGATCTCTCATAGAGTTCAGTGATGTCATTTTGGTACATTCACCATTATTTGTACTTTATTTAATAAAGAAATACATTTGCCCTTGCAAAATAGCAATTGCAAGTTTACAAATAAAACCACAGACCTCAAGTCATGATGCCAAGTCTTCAACTAATACCAAAAGTAAATTGCGTTGTTTACAAATGGTCCATGGCACTACAATTAAAAAAAAATATATCAAAAGGTCACAGGAGCTTAAAGAATAGGTTTATTGACAATAATTTCATAAATATTCTAAAGAAAATTTCTAAACTTAAAAATGTTTAAAATCAGTTTTCATTGGCAAAATTTCCCTCAAAACAAGTCACTACAAATGAACATCACATTTAAAATTTGCTTCGTTTTGACATATTTTGCAAAAAAAAAGTTCTTCAAATTTACAATGATGTTTTCCCTCTCTTGGGTACAGTAAATCAAAATTCAGATTTCAACTACCAGGCATATTCATAAATATATTAACTAGCTGCTGTGAACCTGACAGTCAAGTCAGTCAGTAGTATATTACTCTACAAACATAAACGGAGCCAAATCATTTTGGTTTTTATAATCATAACAATTTTAAGTAGTCAAAACGCAAAACTTGTGGTTTCCCTCCAAATCACCCAAAGCATGAAACACAGTGTCAGAAATTGTTTGCATTAGTTTTTAAATTCATGTGTGTATGTCCAGTATCTGAAACTATAAAGGGGATTCTGTTGTGTTTTGATAAAAATGTAGTCAGATATTTCATAACATTAATATTTATTGCTTTATATGAATACTGTATTGAAAGCCCAAGCATTCAGTTTACACACAGAAATTATACAATTATATACCGCTTCACAAAGGCAGTGAACACATTACATTCTACAAAATCTACTTTACAGAAATTTAAAAATTCTAAATATCAAAAGGTACAGCTGAAGAAACAGGTATAAATTTGGCAGCCAGTAATTCTGACCGGGAAGTTGCAGCCTGCATGACTTTAAATATGTGAATTTGAAAATATTGAGTTTAGAGTAATTGTGCTTTGTGTTGATCTGAAAAATATAACACTGGCTGTTGGAGAAGCATGTTCAAAAATATTTCATTCACTTCAAAATGTCATACAAACTATGGTGGTTTCTATGTACCCCTACTGCCTCAGTCATTTTAGCTCAGGTACATTACTAAAGTAATATATTAATTCTCCCAGGACAGTGGTGTTTCATACCATGACATCTGCATTCTCTAAATAATTTAGAAAGAAATGTGATATTCACAATATTCAGAAAAGCAAACCAAAGGTTATAGAACTTGCTGGGTTTTTCTGAGATGGTCTCAGATCAGCTTCTTAAGCATTCATTGTACAAAATAGCTAAGGTCTGAACACAATTTCCAAGATAAAGCACATTTTCTCATAAATAATGAAGTCTTTTTTTTCTCAGGCACCTCTGAAGTATACAAAAGAATTTTAGTTTGAGCATATCTCTTGGAATGTGTTTAACCTGGTTATTTCAACAGACTTCGGATTTCCAGGGTTCCACAAGGGCCAGATTTTATTTGAATTACTCAGAAGAGAAAGAAAATGTCTTCTGAAAGAAGTGAACTCAATCATTACCAATAGAAAAAGTATTCACTGTATTTGTCTCTTATAGAAACAGAAAAATATAACATTTCCCCCCTTAGAATAATATATATATGTATATATGTTCCATTGTACACCGTCAAACAATAAAATCTGGAAACCAGCATGAAACCCTATAACTCACATGTTAAAATGTTGAAACTATGACCAAAATATGAAAACTCTACAGCTTCAGACAAGACAAACCATTCTTGCATATGTATAAACTAAATGTGATAATCTTGAAAAGATTTTCAAAATTATAATTACTTTCCAGTTTAAAAACTTCAATTCTAAATTAAAAAAAAAAATCTATACACAAACCACTGATTTGACCAGACCACCACCATCCCCCCCAAAAAAAGTCGGCGGTAAGCAGGACCCAGAGGAGCTGATATTCACAGTTCTTACATATACAACTCTTTGAGGATTTATCCTTAAAGTACTTTATTTTACAACCTGCTTCTCTTGTAAAACTAAAGGTCCACTTTATTACATAAAAGTTTTTTTTATACAGTGTAAAACCAGAACTGTATGTAAAATACTGTATCTAAATGTTTCTAAGTAGTTAGTCTTGTTCCATTGGTTCATCTGTGACTTCTGAGGTTTCCTCATCATTTTCCATGGATGATTCTGAGAGACTCACTCCAGTTTTACTGGAATTAGAGCTTGCTAACTCTTCTGTCTCACGGCAGTCTGAACTACTACTTACAGGGCCTTTATTTTCACTACCTTCAGAGTGTAAATCTTTCTCAGCTTGAAACAGATCTGATTCCTCCATCTGATTATTTTCCTCAGAAGTCTCTTCATTCACAGTTAAGGCATCATCAGATTCTTTTTCTTGATTTTTTCTTTCTGGGATCATGTCTCTTGATGTCATATAAGACTCTAAAAATAAGCAAATGTTGTTGTAGTTAAATTTTATTTTCAAAAGCACCTCCATAGTTAGGTTTCATGAATTCTGATATTCTACAATTCAAATCACACCCCCTGAAACTCAGCAGCAACTACACACAGGTGGGCGAAAAACCCAGAATCAGCATTATTAGGAGTTCCATTATGTTAAATTCTTTCATGAAAAAAAAAAAAAAAAGTACAAGAATTTGAGGATCTCCTTATTCCACCCCTTTACAGATGGTCTCTAAGTACCTTCTTCTTCTTCTTCATCCTCCTCTTCATCCTCTTCTGTACAGTGCCTGGTACAACTACTTTCTTTGTCTTTCTCCTGAGATGAAGACGAAGCTTCTGTTTCTTCCACCATAACTGAAGAAATCTCACTGGAGGTTGTCTGACTGGCTGTCCCTCTGACATCACCTTCTTTGTCAAACCTGAGTCTTTTTACCTCATGCCCCTCAGATTCCACAGTGTCTTCATCTGGATGTTTATTTTTTATAGGGCTCACAGAGGAAACTTCTGATTCAGACGCTGGAGAATCACTGTAAATGTTTTTGTAAAACGTCATTAATAACATTTTCTTCATTGTCTACGTTTTCACTTTTGAAGTTTAGTAATTTTTTAAAAATTGTATTTTCGTGTCAAAATTAAATTGTAACATCTGCATAAAGAGAGTGATCTGAAGGTAATCTAAATTGTTCTATAAACAGGGCGTGGCAGCGCACGCCTGTAATCCCAGCACTCTGGGAGACTGAGGCAAGAGAATCGTTCTGAGTTCAAGACCAGTCTGGGCTACAAAGTGAGCACAACGCCAGCCTCAACTGCATAGTGAGACCCTGTCTCAAAAAGACATACCTACGTACGTACGCATATACATACATACATAAATAAACTGTTCTATAAATACTTCCCATTAAGGCCTAGTCCAAGTTATAGGACTTTTCTCAGCAATCTTCCATCAAGTTAAATGTCCTTCTATAATAAAACTAGAGGTCCTCCAGATGAACATATACAAGTCTTCCTATTCATTTTGTCTTATGTACTTTAAAATAAGATGGAGAAAATTTGAAAGAAAATATAAAGGTTTCCTTTTATGATTTGCAATAAAACTATTTGAAGAATTTCAGTATCTTCTTTCAAGTAATTTTCAAAAGCTAGAAATAAAATGTGCCATGATTACTTTAAGACCCTCTATAAGCCATCTCTCAGGATATGCTAGCTGGCAAGTCTTTCCCTATCAGCCTGTAGTTTACTAAAGATACGAACAGAAACCACAGATCCCACAACTGTATTAAAGCTTTGTTCAGTACTCTCAGCGTAATACTACAATCACCTGCCAGTACCCAGGGCAGTGGTTCCAGGACCTGAAGGATTCCAAAATCTGAGGATGTTCAAGTCACTTACAAAAAAAAATGACCCTTGCACGCAGCACTTACACACATCTCTGCATATACTTTAAATCACTAGATCACTCAACACCTATTAAATGTAAATATTATGCCAGTAGCTGTTCTGCTGTACTGTGTAGAAGTAATGACAAGAGGAAAAAAATCTACACATGTTCAGTACAGGTGCAATGCTTCCCCAAGTGTTTTTGATACTTGGTTGTCTGAATCCACAGACATGGAAAACACAAATAGGGAAAGGTGAGAGTACACTGTAAACTGTAAATAATGCTGACAACCATTAATAAATGGTAACTTTCTGTGAAACATTTTTGATCTTTTAATATAAAACACAAACCTGTGATTTTTCTCTTCATTTTGCTGTAAAATTGACTCTTTGCTCTCTGTACTCTCAGGCAAACCATTTGTTGTCAAGGGGGCTGACAAAGAAACCTTTGGTCGATTAAGTGGCCTGGGTGTTCCAGGCCCATTTATGTTAGACCTATAATAAGATAAATCAGTATCATTTTCCATTTTAAAAAAATATTTCCTTCCCAAAGTATATTTATATGAAACATGTCACAGAAATACCTGCAGTAATTTATTTCAGATCCATGCCTTAGCAAGTTAACAAATTCAGTGCAGTATACCCTAAATTTGCTCCATAAAATATGCAATTAAAAAAAGTATACTAAGCTTGGTATTCAGAATTAGGAAAATGCACACTTTTAGTATTAAAAATCAATAATCTCACCTCTCAGTATAGCTTGGTGAATTTCCAGGAAACATAACACCATTCATTCGATTTAAACTGTTGGAATTATTTTTCCTGTAAGAAGATACACTGTTATAGTTTAAATCTTTAATTCTGATTAAGAACCTTGGGTCTAAAAGGATCTCACTATCACAGATCACTTCTACGAGAATTAAGATAAACTCACACTCAAGGGTGTAAGAAAAAAAACCAGTTCTTGAGAAATCATTTTAACTTCTTTCATGTTTTCCAGATTCCTTTACACCCATCAGTAAAACATGACATTTAGAAGGAATGTGATTCTTGTTTTTTTTTAACGTTTCTTTGCCAAACATTGCATTGTGGGATTATCTCATTTAGCAACAAAGGTGTATATGAGAGTTCTAAAAAAAATTCACTGCTATTGCTCATGAAAATAGAAGCAGTTTAACATTAAACCAGTGATTCTCATCAAGAGCTAACCTCTTCTCTCTGTATCTGACATCACCCACAGGACAGCTGGCTTTGTCTCAAACTTTAGGAGTAGGAGGAGATACTTCTAGCTTCTGTGGATAGAGACTGGAGACACTGACAACCCTGCAATCTCCAGGACACCTGTCCACAACAAAGCATTAGCTACTTCAAATCTCAACAGTTTAGAAAATGTTTAGAAAATGTGCTCTAAATCTCAACAGTTTAGAAAAAGTTTAGAAAATGTGCTCTAAATTTAATTCTTACTTTTCTACATGAGTCCTGGAAACGAGAAAGGCTTTTCCATTATGAAGAGGAATTCTGTAAGGAGCTATTCCAAACCTAGGAGTTATGCATTAGGAAGGAATCTAAGATGGTTATCTCAGGGCTCTTGAGTACCAGGACAGCATGTAAATCCAGCAATGTTGGAACTCTAGGGGCTAGGGATTTAGCTCAGCGGCACAGCACCTGCCTGGCAAGCACAATGTCATGAGTTCGATTCCCCGTACCGGAAAAAAAACAAAATAAATAAAAGAAAAAGAAAATGGAACTACAGTACATTACCAATCTTTTTAATCCATATATCTTCATTGAAAACACTCACATTCAGTAATATTCTACTCTGGGGACTGGGTAATAGGTACACAATGAATGAATACATGATACCATACTTAATTACATACATGTTTTAAGGACATATTAAAAATAATACAACCAGAATATAATAATATACCACAAATGTATAAAGATTTCAATACTTACTCTGAAGAAGGATAAACACAGCTAACAACCATGACATTCTGAAATAACAAAATTGGTGATTATTTCAGGCAGAAGTACTACAAGTGATTAATTTTAATCACTTAATTTCTCAAAATCATCCTAGTGTAAGTTTCCATTTATTCCATGTTTGCTAATAAGGAAAATAAATGGCTGAAAATAAAATCTGATTAAGCCAGGCATAGTGGCGCACGCCTGTAGTCCCAGCACTTGGGAGGCTGAGACAAGAGGATCCTTGTGAGTTCAAGACCAGCCTGGGCTACAAAGTGAACTCAAGGGCAGACTGAACTGCACAGGGACACCCTGTCTCAATGAATGAATGAATGAATGAAATAAAATCTGATAAAACGAAACCTAAAACAGGGGCCAGGGATACAGCTCAATGGCATGACACCTGCCTGGCAAGCATGAGGTCCTGAGTTCAATTCCCAGTACCGAAAAAACCCCCACAAAAACCCATAAAAAACCCCAAAACACAACACACAGCAACAACAAATATGAAATTAAACTTTTTTTGCTGATCTTTCTTTCCCCCAGTTATTATAGAACCCTAACACCATGCACTGGAATTATGCTTTCTTTCAAAGGCATTTAGGGACTGAAGTACTCAGCCTGAGTGTGAGGACTTTCCTCATAAAGCAATACTCAATCCAAAGCTTGCTGTGTAGGACCATAAACCCAAAGGAAAGAAACTCAAGACACTTTTTTTTAAAATAATAAAATACAAATGCTTTGTATTTTATCTCACTCACAGCCATATTATTCATATTTCAGAGAAGACTTTGAGTCTTAGATTAAGGAACTAGCCCAAAGTATCGCAACTACAAAGCACTGTAGTCATGATCTGAAGGCAGGGCCCTTGCCCCTGTGACTTACTACCTCTGCACTGAAAAATCTCCAAAGTGTGATTATTAAAAGGTCATTAAGCCACAGGAGTTTTCTGCCCTCTGGTAATCTTACTCAAATGAGGGCACAGAGGCTCAACAAAATATGTTATCCCATTAAGGCCCTAAGAACTATTGTAAATCATTGCACAAAGCCTCTAGATTCTGTTCCTAGATTAAATACATTGGTTTTGGACTCAGAACCTCAAAATAAACATTGGTCTATGTTTTTGGATCAATCACCTACTGCGAAGTAGTGACCCAGTAGTCTGACTTTGGTTCCCATAGGACTCCTTCACTTATTCTTCACACCAGACAGTGCCTTACTTTTCATTCCCTCAAACACCTTTGAGCCCTAAGTTGTTTCCTTTCTCCAGAATGCCCTTCCCTTATTAGTAACATTCACTCGCCAATAATCTGACCTGTGTATCTTTCTACTTGATAGGTAATTTAACCAAAACAGTGTGCCCTTGAACTCCAGAACTCTGTTAAGTTTGCAAAACACTATTATTAAAGCTAACATATCAACTGTTGAACATCTCAGGATCTTTAATATGTTGATATATACTATGGATATTTAAGAGGTAATAAGCTACTGTTCCAAAACTTTAAAATGATCACCTCTAATCCCAGGTTAGGGTTAAGGAGGCTGAGGCAGCAGGACTATTGCAAGTATGAGGCCAGCCTGGGCTACAAAGTGAGCTCAAGGCCAGCCTGAACTGCATAGTGAGACCCTGCCTCAAAAAGCCAAAATAAATCAGATCACCTCAGGCCTTCTGCCCCCTTCTATAAATTTCTCTGAAATATAAAACCTAACTTGGAAAAACAATTTGGGAAAAAGTCAAGACAGGCTAGAAAATCTATTTCAAGAAAAGTTGCCTGAAACAGATCTTACCCAATGTTCATTTCTGAAATCTGTTAGGTCCGTAGTTTAATGGAATGCCCATAATAAAGTAAGTACCTTTTCTACTCCTCTGAGGAACTTGTCTGTTCCTGTATAGTTTCTCCTTGGATCTGTTAGCAATTCACATAGCCGCTGAATAGTAAAAGGGATACTGTAAAAGAATACAATTTTATGCAGTTTGAGATCATTAGTTTTCAAGCATATCAGAAACATCAGCCTATTTTGGTAGATAAAGCTTTACTGAGTCACCCATGTTAAGCTACACAAGGCTACAATAAGGAAACAAAAGAAAGAGCCATTTAAAAACAGACAATAAGCATTGTCTTTTTATTTAACAAAAATAAGTTTCTTTGCGTTAAAAAGCAATTAAAAACATCAAAAAATCAAAATACTTCAAAAGTGATTTGAAAAATTATATATAACATTCTTAAACCATAATCATTTAAAATTAACAAGAGGTTAACAATAGTTTATTTACAAACAGAAAATTTTCCTCCATCATTGACACATGAACATTTCTTTAGATATTCAAACATTATGATTTTGTTACTGCACAGAATATAAGACATTATCCCAATGAGAAGGTATTTTAAATACACATCTGCTCCACTGTAACATTTTTATATACAGCCTATGTATTTACTCAAGCTTAAAATATAAACAAACATGCTAAAAAATTTGGTAAGGAACATACGTTAACTTTGCCAAGTACTTTTTCACATGAATGTAATTTTCACTTGATCACAGCAAATTCAAATCTGACATTAATTTGGGACAAAAAACCATTTTATAAAAATTTTAAAACTAAGTGTTTGTAAGTATCGGCATTCATCAGAATTTAGACAGCGAGGTTATATGTACTAGCTCTAACAACTGTAGCTAAAAAGTATAAACATAAATCTTCAGACTTCAGTGTTTGCAATACAAATCTATTTATTCTAATACAAATAATTACATACAACTCCTGATATTAATAGTTAACATTCATAATGTTCTTTTGTGTTTTTACAGGCAGGCTGACATAATACTCTCCAACAAAGTAAAATACCTAAATGAGTAACCCAGTTTCTTTTTTTCTGGTTTTTTTTGAGACAGGGTCTTGCTATGTATTCAGGCTGGCCTTGAGCTCACTTTGTAGCCCACACTGGTCTCGAACTCACCAATGATCCTCCTGCCTCAACCTCCCAAGTGCTGGGATTACAGGCATGCACTACCACACTGGGCCCCCAGTTTCTCTTAACTTCTGATCCTTTTTCTTTCACTGTACCACATATAATGAACAAAACCATCATTGTTTATTTTCTAGCTGGACAAACTACACTTCCTTCTGGTGTTTACAGCATCAATAACTTCTGATATAGTCTTACAAAAAACACGAAGATTTACAACAGTTTTGAAAACATTTAAAGTAAATATTATGCATACAACATTAAGTCCAAGAATTGATCTTTACTCAATTAGCATCCAAACCTAAAAGTGAGCAAACTACTCTTCTGTCTAAAGGATACACGTAAAAGATGAATAAAGTAGTGTCAAGATGAACAATCATCTTTAAAATGAGAAAGAAATACAAAGCACACCAACAGCATTACTAAAAATGAAACAGCAAACTTTCACACATTTTTATTCATTTTTAAAAACATAATTACAAATCTACAGTTAATATACAAAGCTGTACTTTCATCTTCACAAGGTGCATATAACAAACATCAGTTTCTCAATTATCCTTTCTGAAAGTTTAATTGGTATGCTCAATCTGTACTTACTGTGTATAATATGTATCTGAAATGTACAGCACAGATTTCCAAATATTAGCAGTACATACCTGCACCTCAGTCCCTCCCTCTTCTACTTCACTGTTCTCCTAGCTCTAAATACACTAATGTAACAAGTTCTTCCCATTATTTTATAACACTAACTAAATTTAAATATTAAGAATATATAGCAGCATTAAAGTGCCTGGTATTCAAACAGTACAAACCAGCAAATATTTAAATAAATATTAGCTATTTAAGCCCTTTCTTCAAAAATATGTTCTCTTTAGCAGATGCATACATTAAGAATAAACCATATAGGGCCGAGGATTTAGCTCAGTGGTGCAGAGCCTGCCTGACAAGCACAAGGTCCTGAGTTCAATTCCCCCCTAAAAAAAGAAAAAACCAGATAAACTACCCCCAAATGAATGCATCTGGTAAGACCATATGAGAGATTTGCTTTCTGTTGCTCTTCTATTATTGAACTTCCTGTTTAACATTTACTTAATGTTTTGGCTAATTTTCTGTAGAAATGTATGTAAAACCTTTAGGGTAACTGTCCTTATTTTACCTTCTCCTTTATACTTTACTGTTTCTAAACCTGTATCCAATTATTAGCATTGTACATGTTTGTGAGTATGTGGTGGGGGAAGCATGTGTTTAAATACTGTGGAGAGCAATAACAGCCTATAAACATTTCACCAAGTAGCCAATAGATGGCACTGAAGTGCTATACTACACTGTTACTTGAACAGGCTGAAATACAAGTATCCACTGGAAATACAAATATAATATTGAAAATCTCTTTACAAATGTTTGTACACTTAACTCTGTAAGTATGACAACTTACCAAAACTAGAAATGTTCATTCATGTTCAACAGCAGGACAGGGCTTATAATATAATAATAGTTATAATAATAACTGCTAATAAAATTTGTACATAGTGCTATGGACAAAGAATAAACAATGCTGGGAACAGCTGATCTGAAGCAGGTCTTTACTCAGAGGCATTAAGAATAAACCATAAAGGGCCGAGGATTTAGCTCAGTGGTACAGAGCCTGCCTGACAAGCACAAGGTCCTGAGTTCAATTCCCCCCTAAAAAAAGAATAAACCAGATAAACTAACCCCAAATGAATGCATTTGGTAAAACCATATGAGAGATTTGCTTTCTGTTGCTCCTCCCGGTAACACCCCCCCGCAAAAAAAGCACACCGAAGTTTATTCTAATTCGTGAAAAATGCTAAGGGCTTTCCTGGTTAAAAAAACTAAGACACTTATCCTAAGAATAAAAAGCAAACATGGGAGGCATTAAAGGACACGTTAAGCTGGCCTGGTGGCGCACGCCTGTAATCCCAGCACTCGAGAGGCTGAGAGAAGAGGATCATTGTGAGTTCAACGCCAGCCTGGTCTACAAAGTGAGTTCGAGGCCAGCCTGAACCACACAGCAAGACTCTGTCTCAAAAAAGAAATAAAATAATCATGCTGCTCACTCACTGTGAAAATATGAATCAGAAGCCTTAAATGTGGGGAAGAGGAGGAGGAATAGGATCTTCACTGGCAAAAATGTATTGGAAAATAACTTTGTTGAAAAATATCTCCAGTTATTTTAAAATGGACTCTGTTTATTTTGCAGAATTATTTTACTTGCCTATGAGATAAAAAAGGTATACAAAAGAAACTGAAAAAACTTGCATCTTACATGACTAGGTAGCATCTGTGTACAAACATACATGCTTACAAAATTCAGTGAAACGTTTTTAAAGCTCCACACATTAAGGATGCAAAAGCAGCAGATACTTTCAAATGGTATTACTCAAATACTATAGAAAAGTAATGCCAGTTCACGTTTAACGTAGAAATTGTAAAGCAGAATGGTTTTTTAAATGGCTAGCTCACAGGGAGAGCACATTCACACTGCTCTTATCTGTCTTCATATCTTGTCTGGGAAATAGGGACTTCTTAAGTACACTTCTTACGTAGTTGTTTATAAGTTATCTAACAGTGTCTAAAAGCTTTCAGGAAATGGTCAATAAACTCTTGGTCCCTCTATCATTTCGATTTCCTCTACATCTAACGAAGACTAGGAAGGCACATATGTTCCAAAGACCAATCACAGAATAAAGTCAAAAGTAGAACTCTGTCTTTAAAAACACTGCTGTTAATTCCAAAGACAGCAACTAACCATAATTAAATAGGATAATTTCTATATTAGCTATGCACCTGAATTTGAAAGGAATATGCCCCTATTCATTTAAAAAACAAAAATTAAGTCTTTCATATCTAAAAGCAAGGGTAATTCAAATCCTAAGAAAGTCACTGAGCATCAGAGATATAACATCCAAGCAAAAAGCAGCAACTCATTACTATATTTTTTAAAACTTAAAAATTTAGAGGCTGCTCTCAGTAGCAGAGCACTTGCCCGGTGTTCAGTTCCAGACAACTACAAAAACAAAATGACAAGATGGAAGGGGGGAAAAAAACAAAGTATAGACATGTCTAAATCCTAAAGAAACTTGTAAAATTCCTTGTATTTTCACCATAAAATGGGCCAGGGATATAGCTCAGCAGCACAAGTGCCTGCCCGGCAAGCACAAGGTCCTGAATCTGATTCCCGGTAACCCCCCCAAAAAAATCCTAACCAGAAAAAATGCACTTGACTAATATTGATCACAATTTTTTTAATGTGTGATGGAGATGTATTCCCCACTTCCTATTACCTTTAATTTTGCTATTTTTAGTCTGAGTTTTTCATGTAAAAGAAACAATGTGGTATTTAAGTTTGTGTATGATTTCTTTCACTTAACACTATGGTCTCAAGGTATGTCCATTGCCCTACAAATGACTCAAGTCTAACCTTTATGGAAAAGTAAAAAGTAAAACTCTGTCTTTAAAAACACCGCTGTTAATTCCAAAGACAGCAACTAACCATAATTAAATAGGATAATTTCTATATTAGCTATGCACCTGAATTTGAAAGGAATATGCCCCTATATAGTCCACTCCATGGACTATAGACACTTTTCTTTATTCGTTCATTTGCTGATGGACATAAGGACTGCTTCAGAGATTTAGTTACTATCCATCCCACAAAAAACAAAGATAATAAAAAAATTTTTTAAAAAAAGACATGTACATTTCACTCAGATTTCAGATAAAAATCAAACCATATAACCTCTGTCATAGAAGCAACCCCACCACACACACAAAACCATCAAGAAACAAAATATAACACTGACAACATCAGAGTAAACAGCCATTCGCACTCTCATCTATGGACATGTGATTTTTACTGTATCTTTCTTCTCTAACTACTCTGCCTTGAAGTAAACTATTTAAATGGAAACTAATGTAAGTATCTCTCAATTATCAGATACTAAATAGATTCCAATGCTGA